GGGCGACAGAGTGAGACTCCAACTCAAAAAAAAAAAAAAAGACACAGACTGCCTGGAGCCAGCTTTTTCTTACTCTCCTTCATCCCACTCCAAACCTTGCCACAGCTCTCCTGGCCCTCCATCTGTCCACTCCTGTATCTCCCTTATTGAACTGGCTTCCTGTTTCTCAAGGCAGGAGACTTCAAATGCACTCAAGCAATTGGCACTGGCCTCTGATTACTGGGTGCCAAGCAGAAGCCCCCTTGGACTTTTTAACCCTCAACCTTCAGGAGGACCACGAGGTGATCACCTCACTTCCAGGACAGAGGGGATAAGGAAGTTATGCTGGGTCCTGAGGATGCCAACCTTGGCCCAGAAAGCCCCTTCCCTGCCCCCTGGATATTTATGCCTAGAATGCCAAATTCTTACCTTATAAGGGACGAGGATGGGCAGAGGCAGCAGGAAAATGGGCAGGAAGAACACAATCAGGTAGAATCGATAGGCCCACAGGCCCTGCCAACAGGTGGCCATGGTGTGGACCAGCTGGGGCTACCAGAGCCACCACCTCCAGGAGCCGGAGAACAGAAGGTTCGTAGACACAGCCCAGCCAGCAGGTGGCCTGGGGCAGGCTTATATAAAGCCAGTTGAGCATTAACCATTGACCTCCTCTGGCAATCGGAGTGTTTTTGGAGTGAGAATAAGGAGGAGTAAAGATCAGAAAGGGAGGAGGAGAGGGAGGGGGGAAAGATCAAAGAATAAAAGCTTCAGGTTCCTTCAAGAAGTGAAGTCCTGTGTTAACTCCTTCTGTTCTTGGAGGCTGCTGAGGGCAGTGTGTGAGGAGCTGGAGAAGGAAGGGCAGACACTTGGAGAGACCACGGTTCACAGCTGAGCACTTTATACTGTACCCTGGGTGGGGTGGCCCCACCCTGCCCACAGAGCTGCCTTGCCCTCTAGGAGTTTCCAGTTTAAGATTCACAGCAAGTCCTTCTACTCCTTCCAGGTATCAAGGAAACTGTCAAAGTCACTGGTCCTGACAGTCTTACTCACTGTATGACACTGATCTACTAACTTAACCTCTCAGAATAGCCACTTCCTCATTCTGCAGCAATACTTTCCTATTGTGGGTACACATTAGACAACTTATGCTTGTTGAGTGTTGATGTGTGTGTGGTAGGTGGACAACAAAAGCTTGTTTCTTTCAGGTTCCTCTTGACCCTCTTCACCTCCCCTTTTGCCATTGAAGACCAACAAAGATTGCCTATGTTGGAAACACACCTGATCTCCCCCCTTTTTTTGAGTTAGAATCTCATTTTATTATCCAGGCTGGAGGGCAGTGACACAATCAGGGCGAACCACAGCTTCAACCTCCTGGGTTCGGGTGATCCTCCCATATCAGCTTCCCAAGGCACTGGAATTATAGGCATGCATCACTATACACAGCTAATTTTTTTTGTAGAGACAAGGTCTTGCCATGTTGCCTAGGCTGGTCTCGAACTCTTGACCTCAATCAATCCTCCTACCTCGGCTTCCCAAAGTGCTGGGATTACAGGTGTGAGCCACTGCGTCTGGCTGATCCCTCTCCATTTATCTGTCCCTCCATTCATTCATTCATTCTTCCATCCATACACCAAACAAGTATTTGGTATCAGTGATATATTCAGCCCTGTGCATAGTGCTGAGGATACAGAGATTAAAATGGTGCTTCTGATGGTCAAAGTTAACATTTGTTTTGCACTTGGTACAAGCTGGTCAATGTACTATTTTGTTGACTCTGTATGGTGCAAGGTGGTCAGGGTACTATTTCACTGACAGTATGATTACACCATGGATGTGGTGGGTCTTTTTTTTTTTTTTTTTTTTTGAGTTGGAGTCTCACTTTGTCTCCCAGACTGGAGTGAAGTGGCATGCTCATAACCACCGCAGCTTTGACCTGCTGGACTCAGGCAAAGAGGCTTTGACCTTCCGCCTCAGCCTTCCAAGTAGCTGGAACTACAGGCGTGTGCCACCATGCCTGGCTAATTTTTTGATTTATTATAGAGATGAGGTCTCACCATGTTGCCCAGACTGATCTCAAACCCTGAGCTCAGGCAATCTTTGTGCCTCCACCTACCAAAGTACTGGGATTACAGGCGTGAGCCACTGTGCTGGCTGGATTTAGTGTTATTATTCCATTTTACAGATGGGGAAAATGAAATCCAAGGACACACAGCCAGCCAGAATTCGAACACACTTTGCTAGTGTCCCGAGGAAGGTCCCAACCAGTGCAGGAGCTCTGAGTGAAAGGAGAGCACCAGGGGCACCAGGCAAGAACTCTGGATGAGATGGCTTCCGAGCTTTGGCCATGAGGTGACGGTGCAAGGAGCACAAGCAGAGGAAACAGTGAACTGAGACCTGGACAGTGGCATGTATGTATGTGTGTGTGATGGAAGGGACAGGGTACAGTTTGGAAGAAACTCAGGTCATCTCTCTGGCTAGTGCCTCTGCCTCTTGGTACCTTCCCCCTTCACCGTGCACAGTAGGAGCTCAATCTGTATTTCTGGTGATTATCAGAGTGTAATGATCTGCGTGTGCCAAGTTAGGAAGGCGGGGCCTCAGGGAGAATGCTTCAGCTGATGAACACAGTCTGAACACAGATGTAAAAGCATGGCGAGATTTAGAGAAGAGAAGGTTCAGCCGGGCTCGGTGGCTCAGCCTGTAATCCCGCGCTTTGGGAGGCTGAGGTGAGTGGATTGCCTGAGCCCGTGGGTTCGAGACTCGCCTGGGCAATTTGGCGAGACCTTATCTCTACAATAAATAAAAAAAACTAGCCGGGCATGGTAGCGCATGCCTGTAGTTCCAGCTACTTGGAAGACTGAGGTGGAAGGATCGCCGGAGCCCAGCAGGTCAAGGTTGCGGTGGCTGGGAATGGCCACTGCACTCCAGTCCAGGCGACAGAGTGAGACTCCAACTCAAAAAAAAAAAAAAAAGAGAAGAGAAGGTTCTGTGTGGTCGGAATGTGGGCTCGTGGGGGGCAGGACTGAGAGTTGATCACCACATTTCCAGGGTATACAGTAGCACGGTCTGGGCTGTTATGCCACCGAGACACTCCTGGAGCCAGTGGGACCTGTATGAAAGAGACCTCCCAGTGCCTCCTGCAAGGTCATCATAGAGCTGTGGATGGACCCAAGTTGTGGGTTCCTGGGCCAAGCTGGGCAGGGTAGGAAGCTACAGGAACACAGGCAGACCGGCCACCCCCAACCTCCCTTCAGGCACGGCTCTGTCACTCCCCCACAGCCTACCTGCCACCTGCTCAGGGCAAGGTGAGCAAGAGCCAGGGAGCACAGGATAAACAAAAGGTTTCAGACACTCAGGACAATACCTTGATTCTGTCTCACCTTGGAGGAAGCCTCCCATAGCCCGAGGCTCTGGAGGAGCCAAGAGAAACCAGGCTGGGCCTTACCCTCAGGACAACATTCACTATTTGTAAAATCTGCATCCCGGTTTACCTAACTCTCCACACCAACCTTGTGATGTAGGCCCAGGGTGGTGAAATTACTTGTCCAGGGTCACACAGCTTGTGAGTAACTGAGAGATAACCCAGATTCATTTCCAAGAAGCCCACGCCCTTGGCTGAGTCCTTCATGCTCTGGGGTTCCTTTGATGAAGCTGGGACAAAACTCAGTGTTTCCAGATGAGATGGCTACAGAATAGTAGTTTTTATTTATTATTTTTAGAGACAGGATCTCGCTATGTTGCCCAGGCTGGTCCTGAACTCCTGGGCTCAAGCAATCCTGCTGCCTAGGTTTCCAAAAGTGTTGGGATTACAGGCGTGAGCCACCACACCTGGCCTAGATGGCCACTATTTTACTGAGACCCCCTCGCTTTCACCTACAGTCCTCTTTTAAGTCATAGGGTTTGGGGACCTTTGCCGATTCTCTTCTGAGGGCCAATGTTGGGGGCTATCGCCTCATCAGCTGCCAGGCTCCATCAGTGATTAATTTATTTCAAAGTCAGCATCCCAAGGCCAGTGGAACACTTCCAGCTGTCGCACTCATTACAAGAACCTCCCCCTTGCCCGGCAGTTACAGCCAGTGTCCCATTCTAGTTCAGTACTCCAGTCTGCCCCATCCCTTTTCCTTTCGTGGATGCTGCAGATAACTGTGCTTTTTTCATGGCTTTTAACGAACTGTGAACAACTATGGCAAGTGCGTGGCTGTCCTTCAGGCTTTGGTGGGGCCTCTCCTGTGACAGATCTTTATTATCTCAGGGAGGAGTCATGACCAGGAAGCATCTACCCTGCACTTTGCCTGCTGACCCTCCTGGAAAGGGCCGCCAGAGGTTAGCTGAAAGTCCTGGGGGGAGGGAGATACTTCCTGGCTTGCAAGAGCCAATTTGTTCTCAAAGCTGGTGGCTGATAAGCTGGAGATAGAGCTGGACTGGGGCTGGGTCACAAAGGTGGCTTTTAGGAAGCTCAGACCTGGACACATGGGGCGGGCATTCAGACAGAGGCCCATGAGGCAGCCCAGGGTTGTACTGGTTGGGTCTAGAAAGGTGAGATGGCTGGATATTAGGAAGCACCAGGAGTGACTTGTAAGACCTAAAACGTCCAACCTAGAGGAGAGAAGACAGGATGTGGGAATAATTGCCAAATTCTTTTTTTTTTTTTCTGAGATGTGGTCTCACTGTCTCCCAGTGCAGTGGTTTGATCATAGCTCACTGCAGTCTTGAACTCCTGAGCTCAAGCAATGATCCTGCCTCAGCCTCCTGAGTAACTGGATCTACAGGTG